GTGGTGAAATTGGGTGTGGTGAGCTGCGGTGTGGTGGAATTGGGTGTAGGAGTTACGGTGTGGTGAATTTAGGTGTGGTGGATTCAGGTGTGGTGAGTTAAGTTATGGTGAGAAAGTTGAGGTGTGGTGAATTAAGGGTGGTGAATTTAGGTGTGGTGGATTTAGGTGCGGGGGTTAAGGTGTGGCGAGTTGAGGTGTGGTGAATTTAGGTGTGGGGAGTTAAAGTGTGGTGAATTAATGTGTGGTGAGCTCAGGTGGAGTAAGTTTTTAAGTTAAGATGAGTTAAAGTTAAGGGGTTATGATCTCTCTATTTTAAACTGATTTGAAATTTTAAAAATTGCCTGCACATCAGCATCAAAATACCTTTCTAATGATATATAACTGTTTATACCTTAGAAGTATAGTTTAGCCGTAAAAGGGGTGTAAAGGAAACATGATTGCCTATTTATATAATGATCTAACAACGTGGAAATGACAATGCCATTGTGGTAAGTATTTGCAATATACTATATATAAATACAATATACAAAAATTATTTTTGCACTGAGGTTCACTTTCTCATGGAACTTCCCACATATCTCCCTCCAAAATCAAAAATAAACTTTTCAAATTGGAGTTGCACGCAGTAAACATAATAATATATTCACGTAAAAAAAAACAGCAAATTACAATAGGAATGTCTACGCGCATACATACTTTTTAATTAAATTCGAGATTCTAAACATGCAATTATTTGTTGCATACTTCGCAGCGCGCATGGACTTACTCATTTAGCTTAGCTTACATTATGGCGCATTCGCCTGCAATGTTTAGAGTATTTGGAAGTCAGTGCAAAAAGCCAAGACACCTGTGCAACACATTAATGCATTTGCTTTTAAGGGGTCGAAGGAACGAAGAAAAGTGTGCGACCAAACGAAAGATTCTAAAAGGGAAAAGTTGCGGGATGACAACGCGGCGCAGCTGTTGGCTGTTGCGGGTGCAGAATATACTTAGAATTGAGGCAATGAGAAATTAAGCAAAATGCAGTCCAGCAAAGAAATGCAATAACAGAAGGAGAATGGAGTAGATAATTCACGCTAAATGCTGACTCATGCAAATTAAATGCATTTCTGGTGTTATTTCGTGAAATATTAGCATTTGCATTTAAAATTTTTATTGCCGCAGAAA